TTTTAAATTAAAATAAAATTAAAAATTAAATAAAGCAATGATAAAATATATAATTGAAGTAAATGATTTAATATTAATTAATTATATTAAGAGGTTGAACTTGAGAAACATTGCATGACAAAATTATACGGAGTAAGTAATAAGACAATGGGATGCAGGGACGAAGCCAGAAATTCGGGTGAGGGCGGGGCGGGGGGGGGGGGGGGGGGGGGGGGCGGTGATGGGAGCAAAAAAGTAGGGACGGAGTCAGAAAATTTTTCCAAAGGCGAAATATTAAAACAAAGGAAATAATTTTTAAAAAAAATTAATTAATTAATTAATTTGATAAAATAATTTGAATAGAAAACACATTATAAATTACACATTATCTCATTATTAATATAAAAGAATATTATATATAATATGTGTGTGTATTAAATATTAAAAAGCTATGAAAAACACTGTAAAAACAATATTAATATGTGTGTGTATTAAATATGCAGTCGCCCCCCCTGCCCTTCTTTTGGCTCTGTCCCTGATGGGATGTGAGAATACCTAAGAAAGAGGACAATACTTTTGTGAACAATTCAAATTTTACAAATCAAAAATGAAAAGTCACGAGAATAATCGTACAACGCCAGGTCTTTGGCACTTTTACTAAATAAATGACATAGATGACATTTTTATGCATGTGAGATTAAAACATATTCTTTATGAATAGTTATTATTTTGAAACACTAAGGTGGTCAGCTAATTAATCACAATTTTCCCTTTATTTTGAGCATAGTTATTTTTCATCTTTAATTTTTTACGAGATTGAATTTTTTAAATTAAGTGACAAAAAAAAGTGAAAATAACAATATAACAACAATAATATATTATAATGTATTGACAAGACAAAAGGATCTTACGTTAAGAAACAAACTTACAACGTTACCTCTCTAAAAGGAATGGGTATAGGGCCTTTAAATTATTGTCTTACCTTTTCTTGATGTCGCCATTCCTAAGAGGACAATAATGATATAAGTAGTGTATCTGACGTGATAGCAATATAATTATTTAATTATTAAATTATGATTCTTTTAATGATGATGAAAATCCATAAGACGTGTACTACGTAAATCTCGTTCATATATAAATTATAATTTTTTATTAAATATATATAACGGACTAATTAAGTTTGATAAATTTTTTAGCTCTGAATGTTATATTACTCTTTTTTGAGTTATAAATATAGTTAATTTTTTTTAATGTTTTATAAATTATAATTGTAAATTTAATTATTTAATTAACTGTAGTGTCAAACTCCGTTTACGTCTAAGATTTTATGAGGTCAGATCATATTTTTTAAACTTACAATAGAATTTGATGTCTTAATCAATCTAGACTTGAGAAATTAAATTTACTATACAACTTATTTAACAATTAATCAATCACATTTCTAAATAATTGGGCCTTGGGGTAGGTGAGGTTGTGAGAACTGAGAAGGGGTGTAAATTCAGGTGGGCGCTGGTCCTAGCAGTAATATTCCATGCATGGAACAATACTTTGAATATGAAATTATGTTGTAATAATAATAATAATAATAATAATAATAAATAATAACAATAATAATAATAATAATAATAATAATAATAATAATAATAATCCCCCGAGTATATGCTTCAACAGGAATCACACAAGGGTAGATTAGAAACTTCCGGTAAAATGCCCGCCCGTAACCCAGTCAATTCTGTTCCACTTAATAATAATAATAATAATAATAATAATAATAATAATAATAATAATTATTATTATTATTATTATTATTATTATTATTATTATTATTATTATTATTATTATTATTATTATTATTATTATTATTATTATTAGAGTGAATTCCATTTTTGGTCCTATTGTTATATGACTTTTTCAATTTTAGTCCACCATAATTATTTTTGCCACATTGCGTTCACTATTATTAAAAGTTTTTTAATTTTAGCCCACTTTAAGATTTTTCATGAACTAAAATTGGAACACTTTTAATAATGTGAACACAATGTGATAAAAATAATTATAATAGACTAAAATTGAAATAATCCCTATAACAATAGGATCAAAAATGGAATTCAGTCTTATTATTATTAAACCAATTAAGTGGATGTTAGTGGCACGAGTAGGTTTAGTGATTAGTTATATGTTAGTGAAGTGTGCATAGCATTATGTGAGAAAGTAGTATTTAGTGGGTATTATTATAGTTATTAAACCAATGGGCATGGGTATATGTGTGGCTGCAACATTAGCACTGTTTGTTACTTTTCTTTAGTATAAATAGGGAATGTATCACAAAACACTTTTATGTAAAGAAGCAAATAAAAATTCAATCCCAAATCAGATTTCTCTCTTTCTCTCAATTATCTATAGATATATCTAACAAATCACACACACACAGTGCAGAAACACCATTACAGTTGCTATGAATAAAGAATATCATAAACAATCTCAATCGAACTAGTAAAAAAACTTAGTTCAGTAAATACAAAATTTTAAGTTTGACGACCCCTGCGAAATTTACCTATACTATTAACATACCTTTTTTATTTCAGCTAATCATTTGTCAATTAAGATCATAAGGTGCTATTCGCTTAAGACCAATTGTTATAAAGTGGACCATGATTATATCGTCGAATGAAATTGTAGTAGAATAAAAATGATACTTTAGTATTGCTATAATGGAACTAGTTTGTGTGGAGAATGAAAATAAAAAGCAGAGCACATTATTGTCAAATGAAACTGTAGTATAATTAAAATTATACTAATTTAGTGTTGATATAATGATACTAGTGTGCGTGAAAAATGAAACTAAAATTCAGAGCCATACAATAACATAGATATTTAAATGAACCTAAAGTGTAGTTAAAATTATACTTCAACATTACTATAATTTTTTTTTTTTTAAAGATTAAAACTTAATGCATTAAATCACGAGTAAGAACGTTTACAAGAAAAAGATGTGGAACATCAAACCACTCCCCGCAACCTGAAACACAAAGCGTCTCCCTAACAACAGTGTGGGCGGCGCAATTCGCAAATCGCTTTACAAAATGGAATTCGACATCATCAAGCACAAATACCAATTCTTTAATATCGTCAACTAATAACCCGAAAGCAGAATTAAAAGAAGAATTAGAAATAGTATTAAAAACAACTTGGGAGTCCATCTCCACATCAATACTACCCATACCAATATCTTTAAGCCAACTTAAAGCTTCCCTCAGGCATATAGCTTCAGCTTCTTTGACATCAAAAGTACCAAACTAGTATTTGTGGAAAATGAAAAAAAAAATTCTTGTAATAATATATAGTGTCAAATAAACTAGAGATGAATTAATATGATACTTTGGTATTGCTATAATGAAACTAGTGTGCGTGAAAATGAAATTAAAAAACATAATAATATTGTGAAATGAAACTGAATTGTAATTCAAATGATATATACTTCATAGTCAGTGTTGCTACATAGATTATGGTCCATAGTAAAATTTGCCACGTACTTAAGATAGACTTTTGAATAGCAATTGTGGACTTTCTCGCTAAACAAAAAATTAAAAAGATAAAAGATAAAGGAATATATATATATATATATATATATATATATATATTCAAGTCAAACAATTAGGCGTGCATATGCATGCAAAGAATATCTACACAAGTTTTAGACATGCAGGCAATAAATTAACTTATTATGACTTCAAGAATCCTCTACAACCAATCATGAACCAACCACATGTGGACTAAGTAGACATCAAATCATTTGTGGTAGTAACTTTTTTTTTTGGATGAAGGAAAATTACAGTAACTATTTCAACGGGTGGATAATTTGTAAATTATATAGGAGTTATATAAATTATACTAAAAATATTTTAATTTGTGTAATAATTTCAATCTAGATAGTATTGACAAATATCAAACTCTTAACATCCTGCTACAATAATTATATACCACTCATTCGATAACCTAATTTCGGGCTAGTGATAGTAATTTTGAGTCCTTGATTGATTAAGTTTAATTTAGATTATCCATAACTTGGTGTTCATATTTTTCTACCAAAAGAAATTTCTTTTACGTTAAAAAGTTGAATTGACATAAGCGAATCATTTTAATACATTAGGCATTTTAGTTTCCTTTATCCAATAATATAATGTTACTACGATAGCGGCAAGGGGTGAAGACCCTACATACTTAGATGACAATGAAGATTTTGAAGTAATTTGTGTACATTCGTGTAGTATATTATGTATATTCATATTTATTCGCACGTTTTCATCTAAGAAAGTGTTCTAATTTATTTGAACACAAATATATATAAATAAAGTTTTATTAAAAGTATTAAATACATGAATTGTTTGAGTCAAATGCTAAAAAGTTTGAATTCGACCTGACTTATTACTCGAGCTCGAACCCAGCTCAAGAGTAACTTGATCGAACTCGAGTAATACAGTCATATCACACGTTATTAGCCGTCGTGATTCACAAAGAAAATTGGGGGAAAAAAGAAAGTATTGTTCACCCAAAAGTGACAGCACGCCTATGCTGACTGTCTAAAGTAGTTTGATACAAAGAAGTTCAATTCGTATTGGATGTCACTCCAAGTGACAATTAATACATAATCGTGATTACGTGCATTATTATCATTAGTGTCACTATTACTATTAATTAATGTTTGATTGGGACCTTACAAAAACTCTGTCGAATCAGTTTCAATTTTGGAAATGTCTGACCCACAAAAATTGGCCTCAGCCCAGAGCTCTCACAATCCACCCCGACAATATAGTAGAGCCGTCACCCGTACGGACTTAGTTCAATAGTTTAGTGGGTAGTATTTGAGATAAAAGACCAGGTTTAAACTTCGACGGTGACAGTGTGAAAATTATGTCTAAAGTGGACAAATTCCTTGTACACCATTGATACAAGAATCATACTTTATCCAATGTCTTATCCCTTTGGTTAAAAATATCAAATTTTCTCTATATAAGGACGTAATCAAAAGGTTGTCTATCAACAACAAAACAAGAGATCTTGATATCTCCTTAAACAAAGTACAAAGTTATTTTCATCCCTTTTTTGTGTTCTCAAACCCTAACAATGCCTTCAACGTTGTCTTGTGTTCCCTCCGACATCAACCACTTTGCCGTGGTCGAAGGTCATGGCGTGAAGGGTCTTTCCGACTTGGGCCTCGAGTCTCTTCCCGAGCAATACATTCAGCCGCCGGAGGAACGGATCACGACCAGCGCTATTATTGCCGACGACTCAATTCCGGTCATCGACTTGTCCGACTGGGACAGGGTAGACGACAAGATCTGCGAGGCGGCGGAGAAGTGGGGTTTCTTTCAGATCGTAAATCATGGAGTTCCCCTTGAGGTTCTGGAGGAGGTCAAGGCGGCGACTTACCGGTTTTTCCGGCAGCCGGCGGCGGAGAAGAACAAGCATTCCAAGGAGAATTCCCCGTCCCACAATGTGAGATATGGAACCAGCTTTACTCCCCAAGCTGAGAAAGCTTTGGAGTGGAAAGATTATCTCAGTCTGTTCTACGTTTCCGACGAGGAGGCCGCCGCTCTGTGGCCGTCGGCCTGCCGGGATGAAGCGCTGACGTTTATGAGAAACTGCGACGCCGTTATTAGAAGACTTTTACAGTCTCTAATGAAGGGACTAAACGTAACGGAGATTGACGGAACCAAAGAATCGCTGTTAATGGGTTCCAAGAGGATAAACATGAACTACTACCCCAAATGTCCCAGCCCGGAGCTCACCGTCGGCGTCGGCCGTCACTCCGACGTCTCCACACTCACCATCCTCCTCCAGGACCAAATCGGCGGACTCTACGTCCGGAAACTCGACAGCGACACCTGGGTTCACGTCCCGCCGATCAACGGCGCCATCGTGATTAACATCGGCGACGCACTCCAGATCATGAGCAACGGCCGGTACAAGAGCATCGAGCACCGCGTGATCGCTAACGGAAGCAACAACCGGATTTCAGTGCCGATTTTCGTGAATCCCAGGCCGAATGACATCATCGGACCGCTGTCGGAAGTGTTGGAGAGCGGGGAGAAGGCGGTGTACAAGAACGTGCTTTACTCCGACTATGTTAAGCATTTCTTCAGGAAAGCTCACGACGGCAAGGCGACTGTGGATTTCGCAAAGATGACGAACTAGAAACACAAGTCAAACAACGTCGGAGAAAATGAGGTTGATTATGAATAATCTGTGCGCAATCAAATGTTTCTCGACAATTCTAAAATGTGCAAATTTGTAAGAACTAAAGTTCTACTCTAGCAAGTGGTAACTTCGGTGAAGTTATTCCTTCATTCATTTCTCCATGTTACGTTCCTATATTTTGTTTGTTAATGAAATTTTTATTTTAGGTTTATCATATACAACATAAGATTTAGGCCAGTTAGGTAAATGGTTGTTAACTTGTTAGCTGATTGGGTTAGATGGTATGACTAGCTAGTTGATAACATTAGCTGATTATAGAAATGTGCTTGGTAAATTAGCGATATAATTTCATTTCTCTCTTAAAAAACTAATTGAAAAAGTTTTTTTGAACAATTTTTTAAATTTTAGCATTTTGGAGTTATAAAAAACTGATTAATTAGACATTTTATTGATTTTTTAACTAAGTCAAACAACTAATAGTGGTCAATTAAGTCAAAATTGGCTGATAATTAAGCTAATTATTTTACCAAAAAGGGCTTTAGACATGGTATCATTTAAATATAAACTTTAATAAGAAACGAAACATATATGAGAGACCATGGAGTTTGAGGATAGCAGCAACGGGTTGATGACAGGGTGGAGAGTATATTATCCCTATCCCCTTCTCGGTTTGGAGAAAGAAATATATGTTTCCCCATGCCTAACCCTATGGAGAAATTTCGAATAAGCAAAATTTCCAGTCCATCTAACCTAATTAATATAATTCTTAATATTAAAGTAAAAACGACAAATCAAATTTTAAGTTCTCTATCTTTGCACTATTTTATTAAGCAGTTTGTAAATTAAAATAATTTTACATATAAACATTTTATAATAACTCTCTTAAACAAAAGCAAAGTAATATATACTCTAATAGCAGGGACACTAAACCAAACATGAGGGATTAAAATATAAACTTTTCAGTGAATTTATTTATTTAAAAAAAAAAAAAGGAATAAGGGTTAAATAGGCTATCGAACTGCACACGATAATGCAATTAGACCACTGAACTTAAAAAATCAACAATTGGGTCCCTAAACTAACCAATTTCAAACAATTCTTCCAATTTGTAGGCTTTCAACAGGTTAACATATCATTCTCCCAAATTAATTATTTTTAAAAAAATAAAATTTAAAAATTAATTATTTAAATAATTAAAAAAAAAAACAGAATCCGGCCGGAGACCGGCCGTGTTCGTCTCCGGTCGGAATCTGTTTTTTTTTTTAATAATAATTAATTTTTAAATTTTTTTTTTTTAAAAATAATTAATTTGGAGAATGACCTGTTGATCTGTGGGAAACCTTCAAATTAGAAGAATTGTTAGGAATTGGTTAGTTTAGGGACTCAATTGTTGATTTTTTGGGTTCAGTGGCCTAATTGTATTATCATGTGCAGTTCGATGACCTATTTAACCCTTATTCCTTAAAAAAATAAAGAAAAAGAGCACATTTTAACTGGTCAAGGAACACAAAACAATGTCATCAACTACCACTGCTTGAAATTATGGAATTTCCGACCACTTGAAAGTAAAGTGATGATCTTATATCAAGTCGAAAGGAAAAAGTGGTCGGAAATAGCAACAAAGGTTTTTCCGGATACCAAAAGTGGTCGAAACAAGACTTTCGACTTGATTTAAAATCATTTTTAGGTGGTCGGAAATTTTATAATTTCCAACAGTGTACTTTTTGTTGTTATCAGTTGCAATGTGCATGGTTTTAATGGATTTAGATCTATTATATTTCTACATTAGTATACAATCGTTTCGCGACATGTAAGTTAGTTGAGACACATTTCACGATTTATTTCTTTCACTGATTTTCGGTGTACATAGGAACCTTAAGAGCCCTTAGATTTGAGGTTCAAATAAAAAAAAAAAAAAAAAAAAAAAGAAGGTATTTTACAAACACATCACAAATTAGAAACAATATAATTGGCCAAAAAGAAATACGGAGTAATAATGTTACTACATTATTCTTAATTGATAAGGAGTATTCTTAGAGTATATCTCTTTGTGCATCGTACACCTTGTCGATATTTGGTCAGGTCACTAACAGGCACCAGAACCGATCTTCCCGTGACCTCGAGCATGATATTCTCGACCTAAATGCTATAACCGGGCTAGCTAAAGACTACAGTAGTATAGTGCTCCGTTTCTTGGGTATCGACCGTGACCAGTTCAGATCGGAACGACAATCCCTAACATGAGTACTTGAGAATTTGGACTTTGATTTCAAGCTTTAACCTAGTCACATCTCAGTGAACGATCGGGAATCTAAGTACACGTGGCTACCTAGGCGATGTTCCCGAGCCTACCAACTGGATATAGGGACGGAGCCAAAAATTCAGTTGAGGGGGGGCGAAACAGTACAGACGGATTCAGAAAATTTTTCCAAAAAAGGCGAAACATTAAAACAAAAGAGATAATTTAAAAATAAATAAATAAACTACCTAAGAAATATAATTGTAAATATTGTTGGATATGAACGAAAAATAAAATATATCAAAACTTTATAAAAATATTCATAACAAAATATGAAACATAATTAATAAAATAATTTGAATAGAAAACATATTATAAATTACACATCTTATTATAGAGTGTGTGTGTAATATTAAAAAAGTTATTAAAAAAGAATTGTAAAACTATATTGATGCTAAGATTGGAACCCTTAACCTTATTATTACCAAAAATGTGCTCTACCACCTACTCTAACTTACTTCTTGTTAACATTTTATAGTTTTTTTTATACTAATACTAAAACATGTACTATATATACATATATACATACAAATATTATATTTGGGGTGGGGGTGGGGTGGAGGGGGCAGTCGTCCCCCTGCCCCCCCCCCCCCCTCTCCCTCCGTCCCTGACTGGATATGCAACACATGTCAGCCATGTCGAGAGCTCGGCATGTGTCCCTTTCCCTCCGCTATAAATATCACATTCAATGCTAGTGATGAGGGTACTTTTGGCACTTTCAATTCTACACGCTTATATTAAGCTCGGGACTCTCTGATCCAGTGTCACGTAACTCGAGTTTCAAAGACTTAAACCAACCGACAGACGATAGAAGAGTTTATTTACGACTATATCTGTTATTTATATGTATTTGTGGAGACAAATGTATTTATTACATCATTAATTATTGGACCAAAAAAGGAAAGGACAGCACCACTTCAATATTTGACCGCTGCTTTAAAGAAGACAAGATGCATGCACTCAGGAAAGGATGTGTTTTGCGTGTATGACTGGAATAAATTTTTGGAAAATATTGCACTCATAATATCAATTTATTTAGTCTACAATGAAAGAGGTAATAAACGTTTTGAGCGAGATTCAAACTAACAAAAAATAAATTTTGCATCGACATTTGAATTGTAATACTACACAATACACATACTAGTTTCACACGTGGAGATAGTATTATTCAAGATTTCAAGTCAAACACGTAGTTAGGTTAATTAGAGTCGATTTTAAGGCTTTTAGCCCGCCTAGTTAGGTTAGTAGTCGATTTTAAGGTTTTTAGTCCATGTCGGGCCAACATGAGTACAGAGTACTGAAAATAAAAAAGTATGTGTGACACAATAGTCTCAATTATCATGTTCTCAAGAGTACGGCCGTACGGGGCAAATTATGCCCTGGACCCGTGTCCATAATGCATTGTGGACACGAATTCAAAACGACGTCGTTTTTAACAAAAACGCGTCATTCTAGTTATAAAAAGAAATTGATTTTGTCTCGCCGTTAACGGCGTTATTCGTTTGTGCCATTATGAATGTACAGTTATGGGATTATGAATGTACAGTTATGACATTATGAATGTAAGTTATAAAATTATAAATACAGAATTCTGACATTATTAACTTACAATTATGAACATATAGTGATAAAATTATGAACATAGAGCTCTAAAATTGTGAACATGGAGCTTCAGAAATTATGATTTTACAGTTATTGAATTATGAATGTACAGTTACGGAATTATGAATGTACAGTTATGCAATTATGAATGTACAGTTATGCAATTATGAATATACAGTATGGAATTATGAACACAGAGCTCTGACATTATGAACTTACAATATGAACATATAGTGATAAAATTATGAACATAGAGCTCTAAAATTGTGAACATAGAGCTTCGAAAATTATGAAGTTACACTTATTGAATTAAGAATGTACAGTTACGGAATTATGAATGTACAGTTATGGAAGTATGAATGTACAATTATTGAATTATGAACATTATGAACTTATAATTATGAACATATAGTAATAAAATTATGAACATATACTCCTATAACGAATCTGAATTTAAAAAAAAAAAAAAATAACAGTGCCGTTAGGCAATGTTACATTGTTACCCGTGTCCAGAGCATAACAATTGGATAACCTCGGACCCAACTAAATTGATTAAATAGTTAGTTTGGTAAACACAAGATTCTAAGTTTGACTGTGGTATAAGTTATTGTATCACTGGAGTTCGAATTTATGACCTCTCACTACAAGAAAAATGCACATAGACAACGGTTATTAACCGTTGTCGTAGGGGTATACTTTCTGTTGTTGAAGCCGGTGTTGTTGTAGGTCATGCGCATAGACAACGGTTTTTTAACCGTTGTCTTTTCTACCAACGACAACGGTTTTTTAACCGTTGTCTATTAAGTGTTGTTGAAGCCGGTGTTGTTGTAGGTCATGCGCATAGACAACGGTTATTAACCGTTGTCTTTTCTACCAACGACAACGGTTTTTTAACCGTTGTCTATTAAGTGTTGTTGAAGCCGGTGTTGTTGTAGGTCCTGCGCATAGACAACGGTTAATAACCGTTGTCTTTTCTACCAACGACAACGGTTTTTTAACCGTTGTCTATTTAGTGTTGTTGAAACCGGTGTTGTTAAAAGTCACGCAATAGACAACGGTTATTAACCGTTGTCTTTTCTACCAACGACAACGGTTTTTTAACCGTTGTCTATTTAGTGTTGTTGAAACCGGTGTTGTTAAAAGTCACGCAATAGACAACGGTTATTAACCGTTGTCTTTTCTACCAACGACAACGGTTTTTTAACCGTTGTCTATTAAGTGTTGTTGAAACCGGTGTTGTTAAAAGTCACGCAATAGACAACGGTTTTTAACCGTTGTCTTTTCTACCAACGACAACGGTTTTTTAACCGTTG